GATGATAAATCTTCGATTCCAATAGAACGGAAGACATTAGTAGAACGCGAAAAACCATTTGATAGTCGGATGAATTTCATAAGACCTAATGTGAAGTTTTCGATTCCAGAAGAAGAAGCTTCAACTTCAAGTGAAGAAAAAATATATGCTGATTCTCCATCAGAATACGAATCGGAAACAGATGATCGTTCTTCAGTTGAATCGATAAGTGAAATATTGAGTAGGATTCACAACTAATTTTTGATTCGATAGTGTCCAAAAGCTAGGGAGTTTATGTTATCTACAAAATATCTTTTAGTCTCCTTATCCTTACCAATTATATTATTTAATACAACTTTATTTTGTCTTACACTACTAATTTCATGTTTGCTGGAGGAAATAAGCGTTTGCTGTTTTCTTTCAATCGTTCTATTTTCTAAACAGTTGCGGGTATCTCCTGTTTTAGACGGGTAACTCCTGTTTAGGCATGCGGGGAGCGCGCGGGAAATCATCATATAGACCCCATCTCGATCCCAAATTAACAAACGAAATACGCTCCAAAAAGTTGAATTTATTGATTGAAAAATTGTCAAAAAGATATTACAATACAGGGTGGCTTTTAATTACTGCAACGGTATTCAAGCCTTCATAACTTTCCCAAAACTCGATGAAAACTTCCAAAATTTTGGATCAAGTAATTTCAGACGCACAAAATTTATAATAATGCAATTGATTCCACTTCACTCCGACGACAGCCGTCAGAGGCTTCGGAAAAGAGCCTATGGCGGCACGTGGTAGTTTTGACCTATTAGTACCCATATCTTCTGAAGGCTGATCTCCAGATAGATGAAAGCTTGTTAATTTCACGAGTAAACTATCTAGGTCCAACATCCTCAGATTGAATAATTTATTGGATTCAGGTCTCAGGAGAAAGGGATCCTGTCTTGTGCCTATTTCAACTCCGGAAAATTGAACCTGAGCCTTCCTTGGGTGTGTCTGGTACAGTAAAACGTGGCACAATCTCGTTGGAACACCGTATATGAACTTTTCAAGTAGAATTCAAGTTAAGACAACATCCTGATTACTTAGATTGGTTTCATAGTTGAATTTGGTTCGGAAATCGGGGAAAACAACGGATTTTTCGCAATTTTCCGTGTTTCCATCAAAGATCCTGACCGAATCGGAATGCGAAGCTTTATATGGGAGTTTTCTTCACTGACAAACATATGTAGTCGCCTTAAATAGTATAACGTGATTTCGGTTGATCTTGTTGCCTTCAATTTAAAAATTATCATCCGGAAGTAATGCCCTCGTGTCACCGTGCCGCTGTAGGCTCCTTTCCTAAGCCTCTGACGGCTGTCGTCGGAATGAAAAGAAGTGGAATCAATGACTTTTGCATTATTATAAAATTTGTGCGTCTGAAATAATTTAATCCAAAATTTTGGAAGTTTTCATCGAGTTTTGGGAAAGTTATGAAGGCTTGAATACCGTTGCAGTAATTAAAAACCACCCTGTAGATGAACAGCAGACCAAGACCACACACAGAAAAAAATACACAAGTCAAAAAGATGGAGGTAAAATTGGGAACAGAGAAACAATATATTTATCGTTGAAATTCCGATCCTCTCTGGTTTCAGCTCGTTTTGTTTTCTGAAAAAATCTAAATTAAATTTGTAGCAAACTTTTATGAAACTTACATCATCTTATTTCACTTATGACTTGTTGGTCTTCGTTGGCTTCAGGTTTCATTGGAACCGACTACTTATAATCTTTATTGTATTTATTTTTCTTGTAAGAGTTCTAAGCACATTAAATAATCTTTGCTAGAAACCATTGAGAACACTTACGAGTAGTGTGAAAACCTCTGTTAATTTTTTTGGAACGGTTTGGATCCGGAAAAGGAGGAATATTAGTTATAATAAAACAAATTAGCACAAACAAAACTACGAACAAAATTTTGCGCCATCAAGGAACCGCTTGTGTCAGTATACTCTGTTGGCGCTCCCCATTTAGCCCCCCATAAAGCTCCCATTTCACCCCATATACCCCCCGTTCCCCTTATTTCTGTCGACAGGGAAACCCCCATTCTCACCCCACATAGCCCCCCTTTTTCAGAAGGGAGAACTTGTACTGCACAATTTCCCTGTTAGCCCCCATATAGCCCCCGTTGTGGGTAACTCCCATTTACGCTGGGTAATTCCCATATTGCTTGGGTAACTCCCATTTGGACAGAGTAACTCCCAAAATTCACGGGTAACACCCACCCCACCTCAGTTCGGCCCCAAACCTCCCCCGAGGATTAACTGAGAAAGTCTCATTGACTACAAAGTATCATTGACTGTAAAGTTTCATTGACTACATTTTGTATCATTGACTACAGTAGTATCATTGACTACAAAGTTTCATTGACCTCATTTTGTTTCATTTGTATCAATGACAACCTGTGCTTAAGCTAATGATACCCTCTGAAATTCTGAGCAAATGATACTTTCTCTCTGAAATTCTGAAGTTTCAGTTCAGTACCAATAATCGCTTTCTCAGTACTAAATCGAAAAAAGGTGTTTCAGCCTAAGCCTATATTCAAACAAAAAAACTGAAAATTTTGAGAAAAATTTCAACGAGAACTGTGGAAATTTCGTTGATTTTCGCGAATTTCAGTTCTTTTTTGACTGGAATTTTTGGTTTTTTTGTTTAAATTATAGGCTTAGGCTGAAACGCCTTGTTTTTTTACACTGAGAAAGCGATTATTGGTACTAAAACTGAAGGCTCAGAATTTCAGAGGGGATCATTAGCTTAAGCACAGGTTGTCATTGATACAAATGAAACAAAATGTAGTCAATGAAACTTTGCAGTCAATGATACTACTGTAGTCAATGATACAAAATGTAGTCAATGAAACTTTGCAGTCAATGATACTTTGTAGTCAGTGAGACTTTGTAGTCAATGATACATATAGTCAATGATAATTTGCCGGATTATTGTTGCGAAATATATTAGGAAGTGGGAAGGATTACTGTAGGAAAAATACTCGAAAATTGGAAGGATTACTGTAGCGAAAAACGTTAGAACGTTGGAAGGATTACTGTAGCAACAAATATACGGAAATGAAAAGGATTACTGTTGCGAAAGTTTACGAACAGATAGTAAGGATTATTGTAGCGAGTCTCTACCAAAGCTCCAGTTTTTGTACGAAAATGATGATTGCGACCGTTTTCTTTCTATCAAAAATGTTCATCTGAAATATATTGTAGTACGAAACAAAATTGTAAAAAACGATGTTTATCAACATAAGTTTTTATTGATAACCCGAATTGAAAATATAAAAAGTTTATTATGAAGACCAAGTTTCGTCAGTATTTGTCACTTCTTCTCCTCTTTTTCTCTCTTTCACAACTCTAGGTTCAATTCTTAATACAAGAGCTGAGAAACCAATGATGAAAAATTGTAGAAGGAGAAGAGGGATCATGATAATTCCAGCAATCATCATAGCGTTATCCACACTATTAAATACAGCTGTATCACATGGAGTATTGTTAGGACATGTCCAGCCTCCGCTTCGAACTCCACAGCATTGATACTGAAAAATCTTAATTTAAGACGAAGAATATTTCGAACATACAATGTTTTGGATAACCGAAATGTCAAACAAAGAGCTGGTGGCATAAATGTCGTTTGCAAAACGATACAGTAATCTTCGAATACTTCCCCGCTTGGACCAAATTGTGATACTTCCACTGATTTCTATCAAAACAACGACAATCAGCAAAACTAAAAATGTAGCAGTGACGGCTTTGTTTCGCATGATTGCAGCTATTAATGATGGCAATTATAGCAGCAATCACACATAATCCCCAAATGCTCCAATATGTTGAATAAATCTGAAATATTTCGGTTTTCTTGAAATTATCACAGATACTCTCAAAGTACCCAAGATCTCATGTTGGACTTGTCACCAGCTAATGGTTCGGATGAATTGTAATTGAATACAACATCTTTTAGTTTACGATCATATGAACTATCTGTCATGAAAGCTCCCCAGACAACCAGACCAACTGAGCATAGCTAAAATGTATTATGAAGAGAATTTCAACTGGTTACAGTAACCCACCAGCATTACAAGAACCGAACAAAACATAAGGATCCTCGAGATGAAAGCAATCTCTGCCATATTTGCACAGTATTTCCAGACAATATTGTTCCAGATAAAAAATGCTCCAATATCAGTTAGAATTTAAACGACAAACGTCTGATAATTCGTAGGTGATATCATTTTGACCGTCAAAAAACGGGGAGGAGTTCGAAAAAAGTGATACGAAACCAAGTACAGATAAGGTATGTTTATTCAGTGAATAACCCGTTTAATAAAGCACATGGGTACAGTAATCAAGAAGGCACTTGGAGTGGAATGTGAATTACGGTAGATTTCAAAACTGGATTTCAAAATTTAAAACCGAGAGACTTCAGTTGGCTCGTAACTGTATTTAATGGTGTATCTTTTTGAGATCAGTATGGGAACTGGGACAACAGCTGCGACGACCTGAAGGATGACGATCACGAGAAGAATGATCCCAGAAATCATCATTGTATTGTCCACGCTGTTGAATACTGTCACATCACAATAAGGCTGAAATAATTTAGTTCATTAAGATTTTAAAAGTTAAGAACTCACCAGATTGCTCATTGGACCGCAGTACATTCTATTGAAAACTCCATTTTGAGCGCCACAACAAGAATACTGTAAAAAGCTTCAAGATGACATAAAACATTTTCAAGAAACCTACCGTATTCTGAATAATCTGAATATCCTTCACAGAATTCGTGGTATACATTGAATTCACCAACGCATTTGTAGCATCACGGAGAGAACTTCTTTTGACGATCATAGCAATACCACTTCCAATTTCTAACACAATCAAAACAATCATCAGAACAAGATATGCGATCATAAATCCTCTTCGTTTCACAAAAATTGAAGAAATCATTCCGAAAATAGCAGTAACGGCTGCTCCAAGTGAGAGACCAATAATGCTCCAGAAGACTACGATCAGCTAGAAAACAACGAAAATTCAGATATATAGATTTTTGAACCTACCCAAACACGGATATTAAATTTAGCATCTGCAAGAACCTTGGGATCATTAAATTGGTAAACTACATTTTTTAGATCTGTGTCGAAAGAATCATCATATCGCATCCAGAATCCAACAGCAATCAGAGCAAGGGCAGCTAACTGAAAAATGTGTTTATTAGAAATCCTAAACCAAACCTTTGAAAATCAAGGAAATCCAACTAACCAGCATTGCCAAACAAAGAAAAAACAATACGGATCTGGTGATTAACGTCCAAGCAGCCATGGTAATCCGAATAACAAATGTTCCAGACGACGTGCCAAATTTAGAAATGAGTCAGGTGATGAGTTTCGACTCTGAGCTTCGAATAAATATTGCGAAAATGAGGGGTGAGAGGGAGAGAGAGTGATATCAGAGAGATGAGTCAACAAACACTTTTTGATAAGCCAAGAATGTATTTGGAAGAAATGGAGAAGTTGAGAATACAGTTTATCAAGAAGAAAATAAAGGTTGACTTGCAAGTTAAACATCAAAAATAGAAACATGCAGAGTGAAGCAAAAATAGTCTGATAGTCAGTCCGGAAAGGTATCGAGTGTGTTGGAAATACATTGAGAAACTGTAAGGTTAAGCTCCTATGCAAGATATCAAAAAAGTGTTGACTAACAGAATACTCCTGATATTATAATGAACGATTTAGCAGTTGACAACTTTTTGATATCATTAACAGGAGCAGAGAAATATTGTCTCAAAGTTAAGTACTGATATTGTTGTGCTTCACATGAATTACTTTGCTACTACAATAACCTTCAGTTTGAACTTTATGGGAAATCAAATGATCCTAGAAAATCCCAGGCTCAACATCCTATTCCGGGAAGACTCACGATAAGAGCGTGAGCATACTACAAAGCATTAAAGTCGAAGAACTCACACCTGATAACCTCTTCTCTATCGAACATTTCGATCAACAAATGGCCTGCCAAACGAATAGACTATACAGGGTGGGGAATAATTATAGCGCCCAAACTTTGCGCAAGCTCTGGCGCCAGCAACACGGTCTGATTTGCACACCCTAGTATTTTTTTCACTTCATTTTTTTGTTTTAAACTATTTCTGAAAAATTCATGCAGTTATTTCAACTTTGAAGGTAATGGTGACCGTTTTTCCATACCACACTCCTAGTATGGAGCGCGCCAAAAAGGGGTGAGAACTTTGGAGATCGCTAAAAAACTTGGTATCAGGAAATCAGTGGTCAATCAGAAACTCGTTCGGTTCAGAGAATTGGGAACTTTCAATAATATAAGAAAAAGCGGTCATCTGATGTTTGGAACGGCTCCTGTAGTCGTCAAAGCCGTGAGAGAGAAAATCAGTAGGAATCACGAAAGAATCATGAAAAAAATGACGTCGTAGTTTAGAATGCTCCGCAAATCAATGAGAAATATTTTCCGAAAACAGCTCCATATGATTCCATATCGAACCCAAAAAGGCGCTTTCCTAACGGACCGTAACAAAGGGTTAAAACTGAAAAAATCCAAAAATCTCCTTCGAGGCACGCGCTTCGGCACGCACTTGAAGACCATTTTTTATAGATGAAGTTGTTCACTGTTCAGGCAAACAAGACTGACCAGAACAATTGAATCGGGGCTATCGATTATTATAGTGCATGTAGGAGATGAAAAACCCAGAATAAGACATCTCACCCGGTCACGGTGACCGTATTTGGTGAGATATGCTCAAATGGTAAAATTTTGTCGATTGTGGAGCCAAGATCAACAAAAATCCTACATCGAACGAATGTTGAAGTCGGAGGTGCTGCCCCAGTCCCAATCACGTCTTGTGAACGACAATTGACCATTCTATCAGTACGGAGTGCCTGCACACACTGCAAAGCTCACTCGTCAGTGGTTCCAAGCCAATTTTCCGGATTTTCTCACTAAGGATCGATGGTCAGCTTCCAGTCCGGTACTCAATCCAACGAATTTTTTGTTTTGGGAATATTGGACCCAATGAGTCTCCACAAAAAATTATCCTAATCTGGAAGCCCTGAATATATCCTTGACCGCGGCATGGGACAATTTGGACGTCAACTACCCCCGTGCCGTAGTCGACTCCTTCTTGAAGAGACTTCGAGCTGTCATCGGAACGAACGGAGGAAGGCTCAATAATTGTTAACACCATCTTTTTTGTTATCTCTTAATGAACATCTTGACCGAACTTGAGAAAAAAATCTTTTGGTTTGAGGTTTCTACACTGTCTTGAAAGCGGCGCTATATTTATTCCCCACCCTGTAGGCAATGACGGGAGAACAAATAGATACCATTTAATTGAATCATTTTTCAATTAGTCACTGCTTCGTAGAGTTTGTGACTCGAATATGTTGAACAGTGATCACAAACAGAATACGAAAGTGATTCACAAATTTTAGTATTGAAGGAAATTATATCTTTCCAGCTGATGCTAGAAGATTTTGTAATTGAAAACCTTGAGCGATTGACCCAATAAGAATAATATCCCAAGTGAGCTCATCTAAATAATACAGACAACAGGGCAGATCATCTATTGGAAAGCTCCAGAGGTATACTGCTAAAAAACTGTTAAATGGCTGCTGAAGAGGCGAAACTGGCGAAGGACTGCTAGTTGGTTGCCAAAGGAGAGCCGACGGGCCGTCGACGGACTGTTGACGGACCATGGGGCGCCCTGGAAATCACCGACTTGAAAGTTTTGATTGGAAATCAGCCAGAAAGCATTATCTTATCAGAAAATAATACAAGACTTTGATAGTCTAAAATAGCATTTTCAACTTGTAAAATCGGTTTGGAATTGTATAAATTTTCGAAAACGTTTCAAAAATTGTTTAGGTTCTCAAATCCATCCAGAATATCATTATCAATTAAGCTCAGTGTTGGTTTAATGTTTCCTGAAAAAAATCTTTAAAGTTATTTTGTAGTTCTTCAAAGCTTGCATTGAAAAATTCAAAAGGCTGTGTATATTTTCTATCCACATTTTTCATATTACTCATTTGGTTGGTTTCCAAGTTTCCAATACTTTGTTCAAATGTCCAATAAAATGTTCTTCTTCCGCTGTTTTTCCTTCATGTGTAGGAGTTTGGGATGATTCATTCGAAACATTCAAAACCGGACAATAAGCATAAACAGATGAGAAAATGGCTATTTTTTCATTAGTCATTGAAACATTTCCGTCGTTTCTTGAAGGTACCTCCCACTGTTCCCAATGGAAAAGTTGTGACAGATTTCAAAAGTTGTGACAGATTTCAAAACATCATGATGCAATGACCTATTCCTATTTATCAAAAAGATATAATTTCCGTGACGCGGTTTTTCTCTCCAACTCGAAAAAGATAAAAGTAAGGTATTGTTAGTATTTTAGATAGACACCATGGGGGATAAAATCGAAAAACTGGTGAAGAAAAAGTGAGTTTCAATTGGGATTCAGACGCCTTTCAAATAGAATTTCCAGCAAACCGAAATCCAAACCGATGAAAACTCCGAAGAAAAAGAAAGATGATACGATAGAAGAAGATGAGGAGCCGAAGGAAGTTCCATCGAAGGAAGTACCGATGTCGAAGGAACCAACAACTGGTGGAGTCAGAGACTTTTTGAAGGAATCCGTGAAGAAGTTGACTAGTCGAGAGCCTAAAAATGTGAAGATGAAATCGAAGGAGAAGGACAAGGATAAAACGTCGAGAGAGAAGAAAACGTTGCCTTCGGCTGAAAAAACGGAACGGGAGACAGGCTCGACAAAGATCATTCTAGCGTGCAGAGGACTTTGTAAATATTTGTTAGATATGAAAAAATCGAGTTTGAGCACCTACTTCGACGAACGTCTCGCTAAATATGCTCCACCGAGTCAGACATTCGTGGAATGGGAAAAGAATATGTCAAAGAACCGTTCGAAAGAGTACAAAATGAACGATAGTGGTCGTGTTCACATTGATGTGGCTGGAAAGGATTCGTACATAAATGCGAGTCACATCAAATTTGATTCATCCTGTCAAGAGTATATCCTGACCCAATATCCACTGAAAGAAACGATACATGACTTTTGGAGGATGATATCGCAGAAGAGAGTTTCACGGATCATCACAATGTTCGAACCGTTCAGTGACGAGGCGATTGAAGAGTTCAACAAGATTCCAAGTACTGTATCTCCAGCACCAACGTCTACTCCAGATTCGGTTTCTACGGGTACTCCAGTGAGTGTGTCACAAAAATCTCAGACCAGAGATCAAATTATTGGTACTTCCATTCGAGTAAGTTAATTGATATAAATATAACATTTTTTGAATATTTTTTATAGTGCGAAACGACCCAAATCAAATCCTTCTTTCCTCTTTTCACCGATCACTACATGAATCTTGACAATTGGTTGATCAATACACGAAAAGTCGAGGTGGATGAAAGAAACAAACATTGGATGAACATGTATACGGTAGAAATTGTGGCAGCTGAGTGTAGTGAGGCAAACTATATTCGGGTGTTCAATTGTACGACGTGGCCATGGAAGAAGGTTCCAAATGAGGAGAAAAAACTACTAGCTCTGGCTAGAGCTCCTTATAAAGTGGGATTTCTCTTTTTTCAGAGCTGCTCATTTCTTTTATTTTCAGGATAGCGGGTCATTGATTGCGAAAGCTGACAAATCGGAACCAATAGTTGTGATGTGTGATTTGGGACTTGATCGATCTGCAACCGTCATCCTCACTTCTGTCATAATTGAACTTGTTCTTGCTGGAAAAACGCCAGATTGTGATGCTCTGTTCAAAAAGATGCGTGATCAACGATCGAACGTCTTCACAATGAGCATGTTCTTCACGTATGCCATTCGAGCGGCTCTTGTCTATTTGAGAATGAAGCTGAAATTAGTGAACGACCCAATGAGCGAAGAAGTGAAAGCTATGATCAATGAAGCTCTAGCCACGGTGCCATTCATATCGAACCCAAAGAAATAGTGTACTCGTTTTTGAATAAATTTTTTTATTCCAATAGTGATTCAGTCATAAATGAACGGTAG